CCGCGCGTGCGCATTATTCACTCGACAACAAACAGTCTGCCTGCGGCAGAGAGCTGCAAAGCTTAGTGATCAAGTCGCTACAATTGCTGCATGAAACAAGAAGTAACAACAAAAGGGGAATGTAAATATACTTACTGACCATTTTGTACAACAGAATATTAAAAACTTATCAGTAAAGGTTAGTCCTAATTAAACTAAAGTTAAAAAAAAACGTACACAGGTAACAGTGTTAATTTATCTCTTTATCGAACTTAGGCCTAACATAAGTTAAACTTTTATGAAGTACAGCCAATATACAAGTGGATTTACACATTTCGTTGTCTATGATTACAATTCGTTTGTATTGTGCTAGAAATGTTATGTTTAAATAAGTAATGTTACGATAAAGATACTAATTTGAACGGAAATGTTTTGCGGGTCTCTGCTAGTAATAAATTATATTTCTTCGAAAGCTACGGAAAGTTTCTTCTATGACAGGACATCAGGTAAGCCTAGTTAGGTTTAAAAGAGGAGATGGAATGATATTCCGAAGATTCAAACTTGACTCAATTCCTTAGTTATTGATATTATTGACAGGACATCAGGTAAGCCTAGTTAGGTTTAAAAGAGGAGATGGAATGATATTCCGAAGATTCAAACTTGACTCAATTCCTTAGTTATTGATATTATTGTTCATTTTATCGAATTCAAACACAGTAGCTAAATAACCGAAGTTATTATTCATTGGAGAAAAAAAGAAACTACACTTAAAAGAAAAAATTGGTCTCGACAAAGAATATTAGCAAAAATTTTGTTACCTAGCTCGACTGATACCGTATTTCACTGATATATCTTTGTCAATTTTCGCCGTGCTTTTTACAGTTTATAACCAGAAGTGGTGGCTGTTGCAATGGGCAAAATAAGGTATCAAATGAAATGTCTTAACAAATATAAATCAATGTGAAAATGGTTGTATATACAAAACGGAACGCTCTGATAAAAATATATATATATATATATATATAGTTCTAAGACAAGAGAAAACATTTTGATGTGTTTTTCAAACGAGCGACTCACAACAAAATTTTGGAAATTCACAACGTAAAAAGTAATTTTTTTTACAGCCGTAACTAGATACTCTTTAGTAAGTTTTACTTAGTTTCATTCAGTTTACTTGCCCCCCCCCCCCAGTGGCACAGCGGAACGTCTGTGGACTTACAACACTAGAAACCGGGTTTCGATACCCGTGGTGGGCAGAGCACAGCTAGCCCTTGTGTAGCTTTATGCATAATTAAAAACAGACAAACAAACAATCAATTTACTAAGTATTTACATTGTGAAAAGTAAAGAAAAAAGTGTTTTTACAGCAAAGCCACAGTGCGCTCTTTGGTTTCTCTAACGTGGGGAATCGAACCGCGGATTGTAGTAGTGTAAGTCCGTAAACTTACTGCTTCTACCTTCGGTATCCTATTCCTCTGAAAGATTAAGATTTCCAACTGCAATTAATACTAATAAAGCCAGACTTTGAGAGTAAAACTTTTATGGTCTATGTTGACATTGTAGTACATGAAAGTTAACATGACAATTAATTTTCCATATTTCATTCTAATTTCTATAATGTTGACAGATATTACCATATCTTTATAAGTTACCTTTTGAAATTATAATGCATAGATATGAGCTCTTTGAGTGAAATTTGTTTCAGGGTACAGCTGTGTTGGTCATGCTATGTTTGTTTTTTTTTGTTTGAAAAAGTATTGTATTGTTTTTGTTCAATCGATAAACTTTGAGTTGAAGGGACGGAAACGTCCTGCACAAAACGTATATTTTTGTCAGCAGTTAGAGATTTTAATCTGAGTATTTTTAGAGTAGTTCTTTCTCCTTAGTAGAAAATACTTAAAATGTTTAATAAAATTAATTTTTTCGCTATAAGGAGAGCGAATTTTAATATTAGTTATGGAATTGTAAAATATCCTTGAAGGAATAACAGCTGACTAGTGGTGTAGTGGTCTTAATTAACCAACAACATGGTTAACCCTGAATTCTGACACTTCCTCATCTGGAGTAACGCTTGGCTACTAGTCAAATATCAACAACAACAGCTAGTGAAGGTGAAGAGGGGAAACCAAGGGAGATAGTTTCCGGAAACGTGTGATTAAAATCTCAGAGCATCCAATCTTCCTTTGGGAGATGATAAAATTGGATGTGGTCGGGTACTCTCACAATAAAAGTGTGACGTAAAATTAATAAAGGATTCTACCTTCTTATAGGAGACAAATATGTATGATGTTGTCTAGTGCTTTTCCAGAGAAAGTTGTGGCTGAAAGCTCACGATGGACACTACCTTCTTATAGGAGATAACGATGTATGATGTTGTCGAGTGCTTTTTATAGAGAAAGTGGTGACTGAAAGCTCACGAAGGAGGCTACCTTCTTATAGGAGATAACGATGTATAATGTTGTCGAGTGCTTTTTCCAGAGAAAGTGGTGACTGAAAGCTCACGAAGGACGCTACTTTACTAAACGAGATAGTAATATGTTATGTGACCAAGTGCCTTCCCATGTGAATGTTGATTGAATTTTATACTCAGCAGCGATCTACCTCTATATCTGTTTAGTTTGTGTAAGATCCCTGGTCACTAGTTGCCAACCTTACCTTACATTGTTACAAATAACTGGTAGATCAGCTGTTGTCCCTCCATGGAAGATACCACGTTGCAGTAGCCAGCATCATTATTTGTTAGTACCAGCCCCTCTTATTGTCCTTTGTATTCTCACCAGTTCTATGTCATTACCCAGCTTAGTTCCAGACGTTGGAGGGATATACACCTCCAGCAGATCTTGCAATATTTGGAGATTACTTCACATTTTAGTTGAAGCCGGGAACAGTAAATTATCAATGAAAACCTCTTACTTCTAATGACTCATAACAGCTTTTGGTTTCCTGCCTTGCACAATAAAAACCTTTTTTGTGTCAGTTTTGAATCCTGTCCCTATCATATTAATATATGTTTTAAATGTCGTCCTTGTTACACAAATGTATATGCCGCCATTTTGCTTTCAGGGTAGTCTAAAATTAAAACATATACAGACTTAATGCTTCCTGACAAGAAACTCCATTCAGATAGTACAATGTTAAAATACCGTAAATTAGAATGAAATGCAGACAGTACAATGTTAAAACGAACGTAAATTAGGATGAAATCCAGACAGTACAACGTTAAAACAAACGTAAATTAGGATGAAATCCAGACAGTACAATGTTAAAACACCGTAAATTAGAATGAAATGCAGATAGTACAATATTAAAACAAACGTAAATTAGGATGAAATCCAGACAGTACAACGTTAAAATGAACGTAAATTAGGATGAAATCCAGACAGTACAACGTTAAAACAAACGTAAATTAGGATGAAATCCAGACAGTACAACGTTAAAACAAACGTAAATTAGAATGAAATGCAGATAGTACAATATTAAAACGAACGTAAATTAGGATGAAATGCAGACAGTACAACGTTAAAACAAACGTAAATTAGGATGAAATCCAGACAGTACAACGTTAAAACAAACGTAAATTAGAATGAAATGCAGATAGTACAATATTAAAACAAACGTAAATTAGGATGAAATCCAGATAGTACAATATTAAAACAAACGTAAATTAGGATGAAATCCAGACAGTACAACGTTAAAACAAACGTAAATTAGAATGAAATCCAGACAGTACAACGTTAAAACAAACGTAAATTAGAATGAAATATATCAGTGCAGAGATTATATGTAATCGTGAGAAATGCTTTGACGTAAGACAACCACTTTTATGAAGCTACAAGATCTTATTACTTTTGGGCTATCCTCTAAACCTATTCAGAATAAAGATTATATTGGAGTGTACACAAAGGTCATACTTGTAAAGATTACTTTACCGTTAATTTTCCCTATGGACTGGAGTCTTTGTGTAGAACTATCTACCTGGCTTTCACAAACACGTGGATTTATTCACCTTATAGTTTTCCACTGCGTTTCTTTTAATCTCTGTTGCTTTTGTCTACTTATTTTAGCGCGTATAAGCCGTTGTCATGGTAACAAAAATCTGACCTTTTTTAAAACAACGAGGAGTAAAATAACACATGATAAGTTCAGTTTTAAAAATAGTGAAGAGCATACAGCCCACCTCTCAAAGAAAAAGTGATTTGCTGTGTTTTAACCGTAAAGGTCGACTTCAAAAGTATACTAAATCATTAAGTAGGTCTTTGATCTTACTTTATTCGTCTCTTAGGAGATGGTTTGAGTAGCGCAGGTCTTTATTTTGGAAGTTATAGTAATGCTAACATACTCAGTTGATAAGATGATAACTTAGAGATAGAGCTTCGAAATGAATTGGGCACCTAAACTAGAGCTGAAGATGTATTCATAAGTTATTCTATAATATCATATATTTGTGCTATTTGAAAATATAAATGCACATCTATAGATTGTCATCATTAGAAACCACGAAAGCCTTCCTAGTCTTTAACGATAACGCTAAAGTGATTTATATCCTCTATTGTTGTATAATACTATGGTAGAAATAATCATCTATCAGTCTAACTAACCTGTATTGTTGATTCCGTGGGGGCGTATCCGACTGTCGTAGCGGCCAGGTCCAATAATGCTATCCAGGATCCGTTTTTCAATATGGCGGTAGTTGGCTTTTGCGCTAAAGAAGAATAAAAAGGAAATATAAAAAAGTTGATATTGAAGCATGAGTAACACGTGGTACTTGTTTTGAACTACGATTATCATTATTTAGAAAAATTACAAAATCAGTTGTTTCCATTAGATGTTACCTTTTTTTTTAGCTTTAGAACAAAATATATCACAAGTTAGTTGCATATAAAAATACGATATCATTCAGTTTCACAGATCGGCCACCGATGATGTTCTTGTTCTGAGAGGTTTCAAGATTACATTGGTGTTACAATACTTTGACAAACATTTCAGCCCGTATTATTAAATAATATATATACAATATAAATACCGTGACTAATTGAGATTCAGCTTATTAAATCAATGGTGATAAATGTGACACAAATATGTTTTAAATGCTTTTAATTGTGAAATCTAACTTGATGTATATTTCCTTTAAGTTAGTTCATAGTTTACTTCGTATTGAAGGTGTACTTGAACCTAAGGTTTTCTGACCTGAATGTATAATTTATGCGTCGCATAATGTGTCATTCAGTTTGAAAATATCAAACAAGTAGGTTCCAATTTATGTTCAATTTCATGATGCCATTGACAATTTGAAAAAATAATTTTGTTTTGATTTCGTTCTTCCTGTATACATTAAATAGATCTTAGGAAATACCCCCCCGCAAAGTTACCTAACTGAAAAATTGCTGGGAGAGACAAGACAAACAACTGGCTATTAGTTTTATTTTGTTGATAGTACTCGAATTAAACGAATTTCTTTTTTTAACTTAAAAAATTTAAAATAACACGTTTTTTTCAATGTTCAATAAACTCTCAGAAAGACTATGTCTTCAGAATGATGATGTCCTCGGGTTTCTCGTATATTGAGATTCAGACAAGTAAGCGAAAGATACAATTTTAGTAAATATGTAATTGTCCGATTAGAGGTAGTGCGGCCTGAAATAGAAATCGGATAAGATTAAGGAAATGAAGATAGATAAAGCCCTTCAAATCCTCGACATCGATTCCTCTCCAGGAAAGCTGTCTTTCTGAGATGAACACAGATGAATCTCAGCACGCTACTCATCAGAGTGGTTCAATTTTAGATTCTCCGCTCAGTTGGAGCAAAGTAAGGTTCAAGCGATCGTGTAATAACTAGCTTTACGAGTATATCTTGTAAAAAATAAAAAGATTAAGCAATAAACTAGACACAAATCCAGCAAAAAGAAGAGCAATATTCTTTAAACTTGTCTTTTTTTTGGTAAAAGGAATACAAATATCATGTATATTTCCATCCCAGAAACACGATTCTTAATATACTGTTGATGAATGTGATTCCAACATTATGTTATACATGTTTAACCCCACAAATGACGTCAACATTGTTCTGGCTTGTTTCATATATTGAATCACAATTTTGTCATTAGAAATATAACATTAAGATCATCAGCTAAAGTTTCTGATATATATATATTAAATACACACAGAGAGTTTGTTTGTTTGTTTTGAATTTCGCACAAAGCAACACGAGGGCTATCTGCGCTAGCCGTCCCTAATTTAGCAGTGTAAGACTAGAGAGAAGGCAGCTAGTCATCACCACCCACCGCCAACTCTTGGGCTACTCTTTTACCAACGAATAGTGGGATTGACCGTCACATTATAACGCCCCCACGGCTGAAAGGGCGAGCATGTTTGGTGTGACGGGGATTCGAACCCGCGACCCTCAGATTGCGAGGCGAGTGCCCTAACCACCTGGCCATGCCGGGCCCCACACAGAGAGAGATAGAGAGAGATACACACACACACACACATATATATATTTGTTTTTACACAAATATTTAATTAGAGTAAAAAAGTATGTTATTTCGGGTAAGTTTTAATCAAGGGTTTACAATTCTTGTTCTCCACACAAAGTACTAAATGGTCTATAAAAATATTAATTTATGTTGACTAAGCTATATCGTCTCCTTACTATCCATAAACGGCTGCTAATTAAGATGCTTTGCGAGACCAGGTCTCCAACATTTGAGTTGGAATTAATAGTTGAATGGATATTAGATCGATAAAGTTAGGTGGTACTTACTGACGAAAACATTCTTTGCGCACCCTGATGTTTTACAAACGATATCCAGAAAGTCGCCATTTTTCAAATTATTTGATATTGTAAGATAAATAGTGATAAGAGTAAACAATTATACACACCATCAATTCTAAACGAAAGAGTGATTTATAATGATACAAATTTACACACAAATAAAGTGATTTTTAAAACTTCAACTATTCCCCTTTTCTTTATTAAAGAATATACATCGTGATTTTACCTCAACATTGGTGATATTCTCATAGTTGTGCTTATTACATATTTCACGAGGGCTTATTCAATTCAAGTCTTAATTAAATATCACTCGATAGGCTTAACTACTGACAGATAGTAACAAATTTTTATTGTACCTGTTTTGAAACACTAAAAAAACAACTTTCCACCTCATTTTAGAGAAGCCACGTTCGTGCTATGATATTTCTATTACATAAGGTGATTCTGATTGGTAAATTGTAATATATTTTGTTTGTTTGTTTGTTGTTGCTTTTTTGTAGAGATAGGCCTAATGACGTCAAATGTGCTCAAGGTTTTGAAAGTACCCCATGTTTGATTCTTGTTATTCTTATACTATGCTAAATATTGTTGAAATCGATTCTTTAATATCACAAATTCTTATCCTATTCTTTAATATATATATATATATATATACCTAAATATTTAATTCTTAAATACTAAGATATTGAACATTAATGTTTTGTAGTCTTCAGTCTTAACACTAAATTGTAGACACATTTCAAAATGGGATAAAAACGTGGATCATACAAAATTATGTATTAATAGAACGATGTTTAATATTGTAATGATAAAATAAATGTGCTGTTTAAACTGGAAATTATTGTTTTATTGCAGTGTTACACGTTACAATTAATTATATTTCTTACGCATTCATGATACAAAAACTGTTGGATAAACATGCTATTTTAAGCGCAAATAAGGATGTTGCTGTAACAATGGTAACAGACAAGAGTAAATGATACTAATTGGTTAGATGTAATGCATAATTAAGGAAGAGTAAAAAATAAAGGACACAACCACAGTTATTTTGATTAAATTGGAATTGCTAATTTTTGCCCGTCTAGCAGGTTACTCCAACTTTGGACTACTTAAATACTGATAAAGTTAATTTTAACAACGCTTTCAAAACAAGCTTGTCAGTGTAATTAATGAGGTACCAATCCTATGACAACCTTATCAGTTATGTAAAGATATTCTAACAGGAGAATCTTATCCTCATGAATAATATAGAATTTGGTTTTCTTTTTCTTCTAAATTCGATAGAATGTTTGACTCGGTAAGTCAACCATTGGTAAGCCTCTGATTCATCTGGTAACTTTATAAAGATAACTCTTGAGGATAAATCTATGTCATCAGTCAATCCTTCCTAAATTGGTTAGCTAATTTGGCGTAAACATGCAATGTTGAATGCTTTTATCTTTCCACGATTTCATTATAGAAAGTTCTCCCCCCCCCCTTCTTCACCCCGTATTTTAATATTTCATATAATTTTCTCTTGATATCTCTGTACAATGTTTATCTTCCTTTAACTTTGCCCAATTACAAAGTCTAAAATCAGCTTTATTTCTCTAATTGATTATGGAATGTGGCGATCGTTTGTTCGAAATAGAGCTATTTCGTTGTTTGCTGTTTTTGTAATAATAATAATACTTGATTAGAGAGGAGTTTTTTCATTCCTTCTATGGGCAAAAAACACGTACATTACTGACAATATACAGATGCTATTGAATGTTTCCATGCAATAATCAGTTACATGTTTCCACATTTATACTCACACACCGACAAAACTACCCCCAATACTCTCCGAATGTAAAGTTACAAAAAGGATACAAACACTGGCATTATTAATTTCAACAACGTTTTTTTTTCATACTTATAAAACGCCACTTAAAATTTGGATGCTTTAATTTTCAAAAACAGAAGCACCACAGTAAAACAAAACAACATGTTTACTCTTTATATGTTTCAGAATTTAGACATTCGATCTAAGGCATCTAAAACTGTTACATACTACATACATGTGTAATATATATACATATACATATCTACACACATATATAATAAGCAGTATAAGTTTTAATATGGGGAAAATGTTTACAAATGTAGATAGTATATAGATGTAAGTGTGTTTTACATAAGAAAATGTAGATGCTGATGATGGAATGCTTTTGTTTTTCCTGTGGTGCTCCTGTTTATAATTAAACTTCGTTTCCCGCCTGATCAGTCGATTGCTTTATTTTTATTGTAAAATTTCAATAATATCAATAACAAACATGCAATTAGTTTTCTTTGTTCTTAATCACAAAACTACACAACGAGCTACCTGCTCTGTGTCCATCGAGGAATCGAAACCACGATTTTAGCGATATAAGCCCCTAAGCTTTCCAGCTGGGGACCATATGCAGATACAGCAATATAAAATATACAATAAAAACATTTAAATTTATTATGAGAGAAATAAAATATGGTCAATATTTTCGTCGGCACTTTACCCTCATACTTCTCTTTCTCTTACAGAAATTTTAACTAGATTTAAGTAATCAAATCTAAATTCTATGAATAAAAACTATGAATTTCAACAGATTACTTATAAAAATTCGAATACGTTAAGTATTTAAACATATGTAAATCAATATATTTTTCTTGAAAGACTTTAGCTTATTATAAGTGAAAATACAAAAATGTATATGAAAAACACCTTATACACAAGTATTAAAACGAATATAATTTTAAAAAGTGACAAGTTGTTTTCAAGTTAACATACCAAGCACAATCTGCAAGTAACAGTAAGAACAGACACAATCCTAGAGCACCGTCAAACCCTTTGCACCAGTTGAGCTTCATCTTGAGATGATTCACTCAGTTTTAGTGATATCTGTAAAATAACAAAATCAAGCGCTTATGTAGAAGTGTTACTTGTAAAATAACAAGAACAAAAGCTTATGTAGAAGTGGTATCTGTAAAATATTATACACAAGAACTTATGTAGAAGTGGTAGCTGTAAAATAAAAAAACAAGAACTTTTATAGAAGTAGTTTATGTAAAATAACAAGAAATTAAGTAGAATAAAATACTTAAAAAAAGTTGTTAAACACAAACGCTTATGCTGTTTGTGTTCTATAAATGCTTTCGTGAAGCTCATACCTTATCAACCCCCTCCCTTCCCTAAAGAAAAAAACAAACAAAAACCGATCATTTTCGAAATATAATGAGTATGCTTGATGTTAATTGAGATTTGGGAAAATGTAAAGAAGGATATTAAGAAAATTTCAGAAGTAACTTGTAAATTTTAGAATATATTCTACACATTTCGCGGGTACTTAAGGCAATCTTGGCATGTATTTGTTATAAAAGATAGCGTTAACGAAGTATAATTATTTCATATCAAAATAAAGTGGAATATTTACGTTTGTGCCCAAGAAAATGCCTCCCAGAGGCTCAGCGGTAAGGCTGAAGGCCTATATCGCTAAACATCTGGTTTAGATACCCGTGGTGGGAACAGTGCAGATAGACTATTGTGTAGCATTGCACCTCAGAACAAAACAAACTAACTCAAGGATAATATAAGTTCATTCTTGACACAAATAAAGTAAATTATTTTTTTTAACAAAACATCCAAAGCTCCACTCACTCAATTAAAATAACGTTCAGAAAGTTTCCTCTTATGTTGAGTATCTTGTTCTTAACACTGTTCATTATGGCTATTTAAGAATGAAAGCAATGATTGGAATGTCAAGAGGTATTGTATACATTTAACATGTCACATTTGAACGAAAGTTATTTCAACGATCTTTAAGCTACCAAATGTCAAAATAAAAGTGGTTAAAATTTCGAGTAGTTTTGTGGATTAACATGCTTAAGAAATTTGTATATTATGTTTAAAACGAAACCAATAACTATCTTAATTTACAGTAATGAATAAACCAAGGAGTGTCATTTGATATTGTTGTATAATTGGTCAAAATGAAAATATAAAATATTCAAATGTGTAAAAAACGAACAATCATAATTAAATATTCGCACTCTAATGCTAATCAAAATCTACCATGGCACTCAAAAATAATAAATTATGAAAATAGGTAAATACATAATACAGTTTAAGGTAAATTACACGAAAGTTCAAACCCACACAAACGGAACGATACCAAATTTAAATGGAAAAGTTAGACTGAAGAAGACATGTGAAATGTCGAAACTAGTTTCCATTTAAATGTGGTATTGTTCCATTATAAGAGATTATATTTAAATGGAAAAGTTAGACTGAAGAAGACATGTGAAATGTCGAAACTAGTTTCCATTTAAATGTGGTATTGTTCCATTATAAGAGATTATATTTAAATGGAAAAGTTAGACTGAAGAAGACATGTGAAATGTCGAAACTAGTTTCCATTTAAATGTGGTATTGTTCCATTATAAGAGATTATATTTCAAGTATCTTGTATGTAATTCAAACTATGTGATGGAAATTATAACACCTCATCTGCACTTTACTTATGATAAGTTATAATTTTCTATAACTTATTGAAGATAAAAATTTCATTTGTTCAAAATAAAGAAAACGATACATTTTATTTCCAGCGTTTTATCGATACGGTGAAAAACAAATATGCATGATTTGGGTCGTTTCGAGCGATAATTGGAATTTTGTATGTGAGTGATGCCTGTTAATCTTTTTCTTTGAGAAATACGCAGCAGGAATTTTTTATTCAAATTATCAAAATGCACAGAGATATAATTAGGTGCTTATTAAGTTACAGGGCAATTAATTCTCTATTCGCCTTCGCGAGACAATTACAAATCAGTGACACCTATAACGTTAGATATCGGAAAACTGTCTTACTGAAATAACTTCATAGATATGGCCAGTACTTACTTTATTTCAAAATAACAGAGAACCATTCGTGAAAATCTGTAAGGAAATTCTAGTTTTAACATATCCGGAAAAAAGTAGAGCTGACAATTTGGCCAAACACTTTTTGGATTGGATTTTAACATATCCGGAAAAAGTAGAGCTGACACTTTGGCCAAACACCTTTTGGATTGGATTTTAACATATCCGGAAAAAGTAGAGCTGACACTTTCGCCAAACACCTTTTGGATTGGATTCAATTTTACCTCTACCCCATAATATTTACTTCATATATAACACTGATCACGCCATCTATATAATTAAAGTTATAGAATGATAGATCCTTATTTCCTACAGTACTGGTTAACATAACTTGGATAAACCGTTCTCAAATAATCATATGAAATTATTGTTATCACCCCAGAAGAGGTATATTGATTGATCGCCATCATGAACAACATACTTTACACTATAACTGATTCCCCCTCCTCCCCGTAATTGAACTGTAAAAGCAAAAATTATTACCTCAGCTGGGGTACTTGCTTCTGTCTAAGTAAAACAGATCAACGTTCAGTCGATACATTTAGTATGTTCCCCAAAGAATACATCACTTCATTATGCTTACAAATCGTTTATTGCCACTTTATTATCACTAACAAGCTACTTATCTCTCATTTTACTTTAGTCTCCAGACCACTAGCAAGTTACCTAGCTTTTACTTTACTTTAGCCTGCAGACCACTAACAAGTTACCTAGCTTTTACTCCACTTTACTTTAGTTACCAGACCACTAACAAGTTACCAGCTGTTACTTTAGCCTGCAGACCATTAGCAAGTTACCTAGCTTTTACTTTACTTTAGTTACCAGACCACTAACAAGTTACCTAGCTTTTACTCCACTTTACTTTAGTTACCAGACCACTAACAAGTTACCAGCTGTTACTTTAGCCTGCAGACCATTAGCAAGTTACCTAGCTTTTACTCCACTTTACTTTAGTTACCAGACCACTAACAAGTTACCAGCTGTTACTTTAGCCTGCAGACCATTAG